TCTAATCATTTTAGCATCTAGAACTTTGAGAAAAAAAAAAGTCTGCGAATTTTAATGGTGTACAGAAATCTAAAATATTTCTTACAAACAGAAGACAAAAATAAAAAACCTCAAACTTGTTTCTACCACAAGAAAAATAGAAAAATTACTTTACTGTCAAGACAGCCAAAAAGAGAAAAAACAGTGTTTTTAACTAAACAATAAAAGTTGACAAACAGTTGACGAAGAATAACAAACTGTAAATGCTAAGCTAAAGTTGTTGTTTTGTAAGTGTTTTCAGTAAAAGAAAGAGGAAAAAAACAGCTGAAAAACCAGAATAAAAAACGTAATTTAATATGGGAGTGTAATCAAACAACTAACAATTCTTCAAATTCTCGAATTAGTAATATAAAAAGTTGCCAAGTTTTATTTCTCTGCTATTGTACTTCTCTGCAAAATTGTTTTATAATCTTACCAAGAGGTTCTTATTAAAAAGCAGTAGAAAAAAAAACTGTTCAACTTAGTAAATAAATTTTGTTGGTGACAATAGAATAAGACGAAGAAAAATTCTTGTCAATGTTTATAGTGATAGTATCTTATCGAAGAAAGAAAAAAGTTACTTATACCCAACAGTTTTGTCGCATAAACATTTATTTGGTAAAATTTGATTTCTTAAAACAAAAATTTTTACCACCACTCAACCTTAGCTATCAAAACTGAAAGATATTGGCTAAAGAAATAAATTTTTATACAGCTGTTTAGCAACAATAAATTATTTGCAGTTTTTCTGAACATACAGACAGTTTTATCGCTAAAGTCAATATTTGAGCAAAAGTCAGCAAAATTTGAAATGTAATGAAGTCAAACTTTGCACCCTAATTAAAACTACAGCTTCATTGTTTTTTCTTTTTGTACTTAGTTCAAATTCATAAATATTATAAGAGATTCGTTCATCGGTTACTTAAGTGCATATTAAGTCAGAAGAAGTTGCTTCAAAAATCTACTAAAAGTCTTCTCAATAATGTTATTATAGTAGTTAAAAAAGAAGAAATAAACGATCATCTTTTGTAACACTATTGTCTTAACCGATAAAACTAAGAGCAAAGTTCAGTTAGCTTTAGCTTTCAAAAGCGTAGAACTGTTGTTTTTTTTGTAACGCTTAGCAGAAAAATTTGCAGTTTTAATTTGTTGCCTTTAGTCACTGATGTAAAAACAAAACCTAAAAAAGTGGTGATAAGTTCATATAATTCTCGCCAACTCAAAAGCTAAAACTTTTTTATCTGTATTTTAATGAGATCATAAAGTTCAGTAAATTTTTCAAATTTGTAATTAGCTGGAAGTATTAAGTAGATAACTGTTCAGTACAGAAATAAGAATACTGAACCAGTACAGCTGTAGCACTTCTTTACTTTACATGACTTTGTAGCAATTCTTGAGTAAATATTCTCACTAGGTTAAAAATTTTTTTTATTAAAGCAGTAAATGAGGTTTGATGAATCTTCATAATTACACCGTTCAATAAACTGATTGTTTTAATAAGCACAACTTGGCATCTGTAACTACTGATATCGGTGTTTAACGTATCAGTTTATTTGAAATTATTTTTTTACAACGATTGAAATAGAAACAGAGAACTGTAAACCAATTTAAGCAAAAAAAAAATTTTAATTCATTTGACGTTATTTTTCGACTATTCTGTAAACAGTTTTCCAAATTGTTAGGAAATTCTTATATTTTTTCACTTAACTTTACTTGATACTGACCGGTTCAACGCAGTTATCAACTGCTAAAACTATTAGACACAGAAGGAACGACATAAATTAATGTAACTAATGGATTTAAGAATTCGTTAGTGAACCATTAAGGATGTTGAATCGGTGACTGCTTCGTCGTCACTTTCCAATGTACCATCGGCGTTCTTATAATTCAATTCCTGCTTGGAATTAGCAACATTAGCAGTAGCAGCAGTATTGTTTTCCCATATTCTATCATCTGTTTTTCGTAGTTCTTCAATCATATGAGCAAAATCTTCTTCAACGTGTTGCAAATAACGGTATTCTTCTCGATGCCGAAATCTTCCTCCCCAAATGCCCTCTTGGACA